ACTCCTTTGAATTTGGTGATGAAAACTCGAAGTGACTCATTAGATCCTTGCGTTAAGTTCCAAAGATCGGCATCCGAGACGCTTTTATCCATAAGGATAGAGTATTGCTTTAAGAATACGGCTGATAGTTCGTCGAAATTGCTGATCGAACCCGGCTCTAATTGGGTGAACCACATTAGAGCTTGGCCACATAGATTTTCCGAAAACAGCTTGCAATAGCCTGCGTCCTCATCAGCTTCATCCAACTCGACTCTTCCTGCAGCGATCAGAAAGGCTGCAAGATAGCTTTTTGGATCCTCCAATCCGCTGTAAGGGTCCAACTTGAGCTTCCGGGAATCTTTGATCCTCAAACTTGCAATTCGCGGGGTAAAAGGGGTTCGCCTAGCTTCTTCAATGACTCGATTGATGTCTGGCTCCGAACTTGTAGCCTGATGAAATTTTGATTTCATTTCTTTTAATTCCTGGCTAACTTTCCTCATGGTCTCGAACTGGTCGAGGTTCTCCTGCTCGTACTGAGCTGCAAGTTGTTCCTCATCCCCGAGCTGCGTCTCTTCTTCCGACGTCTGAGCTACATTATTAGTAGCACCGGGAGTTGTTTGTCCGCTGGTTTCATTTCGTGCAGCGGAACTTGGCGAGTTGAATATCCCTCTTCGGGTTCCCACCGGGTTTCCTGCACTTAAAGAGCGAACACGAGTTTGTATATTATTGACATTTTGACTAAGAGATACCTGGGATGTTTGCAACGTATCAACGGCCTTCTCCACATCCGAGAACTTTTGTGATATGTCCGACATGGTTTGCTGCATAGCTTTGAGGGTTTCGGCCAATGATGTTTCAACGGCGTCTCCTCCGGACATTGTCGCTTATCTCGGAAATGTAGAAAAGAAGAAATCTGACCACTCAAGAATCTTGATAGTCCCCACAGACGGCGCCAAAATGTGGATGTCGGATTCACACACTCAAGTATTTTTGTTAAGTGGGAAAGATTATCCTTGAGGGACAAAAATGAATATATAAAAACTTGTAAATTGATACGAAAATTGCTATATTATTTCTCTCTCGAGAGGAAGATCCCCTTTACATGGCCATCGGCCTCTATATTTATACACCGATAAACGACATTAAAATGAGTAATTAAGCACAATTATTTCTTCTTAAATGTGTCCGTTTTGATTCTTCGGCTTTAATGCTCAACGTTTGAATTTGAGTTGACTCTGATCTTCATGGGCCTCGCCTCTTTCGGCCCAAGTGTCCGCGAACCGACTTACCCGCGTCTTCTACTCCGAACTCGTGTCACAGTGTAGTCACTTCGGATTTTCGAAATGGCGACAACCACTTCGACCGTCCCTTCGGCTCACGGGTCCAATGGGCTTCATCCTTTATGGGCCATTATCTTGATCATGTGGCAATCTTTGGTTGGTCTCGTACTTCTGGTGCGGGATCCGACACCAACACTGATGTGGTTGAACTCTTGGCTTGGGCTTCTTCAGTATCCCAATACTTACACATCTCTCTCCACAGAGTTTTCTCAATCCAATACGGCCTCACTCTTGGGCTTTTTGACCCTGCCTTACTAACCATGTCTTTCATACGCAGTGCAATGATCTTGTAGAACTTGGCTTCAACCACACCTGTAACTAAGGGATGCCATGTGTGTGTTTTCTACCAAAACAAGAGGACAGTGAAGCAGATGTTAGTTATCAAAATACAATATGAAAATACAGTAGTAGAAGAGGGATAGAAGCTTACAGCGAATTCAAGAAAGTATCTTTCTCTTCTTCCAGTTGGCACACAACTCCAATTGTAGTATGGTCCATCAAACTTGTTAGTAAAACACTTGGTGACCTTCCGGGTTAGCTTACCCTTATCCTTACCAAACCTACAATCAAATAAACAAACTTACAATCTATACACAAGAATACAAACAGAAGAATACAACACAAGAATACAAACTATACCTAAACAAACTTACAATCTATACACAAGAATACAAACAGACCTAAACCTCTTCACAAACTATACCTAAACAGAACCATACCTAAACCCTAAACAAGAACCAGAACCATACCTAAACCCTAAACAAGAACCAGAACCTATACACAAACAGACCTAAACCATACCTAAACCTATACACAAACCATACCTTAACACAAACAGACCTAAACCATACCTAATCCTATACACAATTCTAGACAATCCTATACACAATTCTATACAAACAATCCTATAAACATTCAGAATCCTTACCATGTCGTCCCAGGCTCTAAAGTCGGAGAGATGAGAGTAGTATAGAGCTCACGGCCTGGGATGACAAGCGTATCATGTAAAGTCGCGAGGACATCTTCTAGGAGTGTTGAATCCCTCAAACCTTCATCCTCCGATGTAGTTTCATCATCAGCTTCTTCATTCGATGCAACTTCTTCTTCTTCAACGTTCTGAGCTTGAGAACTGTGACCAGACAGAGAGGCTCTTGGTGGTCGTTGTTGATTAACCACTGGAGAAGGAACCGGCGCTGGAGGCTGAACTGGAGCTGGAGACTGAGAGGCACGGGGAGATCCGGATGCTAAACGATGAACAGAGGAGACAGATGCTCGAAACGGAGTCGTTCTAGAGCCCCGAGGAGATCCACCAGCTGCATGCTGAGATCCTTCGCCCGACTGGAAAAGCTGCAGCGGAGGTGGATAGTCTCTTAGACTCAGTTGCGGTGAAGGCTGACGATTCGGCGGATGCTCAGTCCCATGATTTGGATCTTCAGGGTTCGCCGGCGTGAACTCATACTGCGACGGAAGGCTCCTTGGTCTTCGACTCGATACACCGGAAGATGTGGGTCGAGTAGGGACGACAGTGGGTCGCTTCACCGGAGACTTCGGTCCCCTCTTCCCTCTTTCGCTTCCTCTTCCACCGCGAACACGAGGAGCCATCGATTAGACCTAAAAGAAGTAGATTTGTAGAGAATTGGAGAGAAATTGCAGGGTTAGGGTTAGGGTTCGTCGAGATAGAGAGAATTAGGGATCTAGGGTTAGAGAAATGCGGAATTAGGGTTTCCTCGGTTAGAAATAGGGAATTTATACTATGGGCCAACGCAGTAAATCTAATGGACCGAGACCAATTAAAAGGCCCAATTAGAAATTATAGTTGCTATAAAGTGGCTAATTAGTAGCCCAGTTTATAGACTAAATATTTAGAAGCTACTTAGTCGCCTAATTTGGCGACTATACAACGACTATTGTTATCCGTCGCCAAATGCAGACGGATTAGCGACTAATGTTGTTTAGGCAACATTCAGTCGCCTAAATGTCGCAATTCAGTCCTCAAATTCAACGACTAATTTATCAGTCGCTGAATAACGTCGCTAATGACGTGTTTTATTGTAGTGTATAAATATAGAAACTCAAATATAAATTATGGAAGTAATGATAAATTGTTACTACGTAGGAATTATATAAATATATGAGAACAATGATATAATGTTTTTTTAGATGCTAGGCAAAGAAAAAAAAAAAAAATTATTTGGACCGGATCATATTCAAATATAAGCAGATTTTACGGACTAGGGGACGTGTCGGTCGTGATATATCAAACCTGATTGATATGCCTACATAACTACTGTATGTAGTTGAACAATAATTTATTTTCTTACAAAAATTTATATTAATTTTTTATTTACTGTATTATAAAAAGTTAATTTTTGTAACAAAGCGAACAATGTTTTCAATTTTGTTAACATATCTTTAATCGAAGATATAACATACAAGTACAGTAATAAATTTAGGTAAAATTGATTTAGAGGTTTGTTTATTTTATTTGGAAATCCAAAAAAACTCAGTGTATATATAAATAGATGCAGTCATGAAATATGACAAAAGAGCATCCGAACAATGGGGAATATACATGTGTGTGGACCTACCAACCATGCCACCTCTCAATTCACCCACATTTCTTCTATCTACGCATGTAAGGATTATTTGTCAAAAGTATTTTCTTAACCCAAAAATAAGAGGATACTTGATGGCTTGCATCTACATTTACAATCAAATATAATTACCTTATAAAACATCATTTATTGATTGTAACCAAATAGACAATATAATCTAATGGTTTATGCCTTGTGGTAATGGTTCATTGTGTTTTCATTTGAATTTAAACTCAGATAATACATATTATTAATAAAAGAAAGATTATAAGCAAAAAAAATAAAATCATTCTGTTTTTTTTTTATTTAAATTTGTTAATGTAAATTGACACGTATATTATGGTTTCAATTTAAAAATGCATAATTTTAACATACATGCATGTGTAAAAGCAGAGGCAAATTAAATGAGGAAAAAGACAATGAATTTTGAAGAAACGACATAGATTATTTTTTTTATTTTTTTTTATCAAACCAGGAAATTATTATAGATTAAATATGTGGAAGGAATATTTTCAAAGGAAAAAAAAAGTATAAATTGGATTTTTTTAGTCTATAAAAGAGATAGGTGTATATGCATGGTCTGATACCAAAGGACCATTTTCGCTTTTATTCATGAATGATACTTTTTCTTAATAAGAATTTGGAATCCTTTTGGATCGAACACTATAAATTAGAATCTTGGACTTGGCCCATTGCTCGGTCAAAAGGAGGTTTTCTAAGTATGTTCCAATTTCCAAATACTTCAAACCTCGAGAATGCCACCATCAAGAGAAATAGTAATTTTAAAATAGAGAAATTTATATTATTTTTGTGTTGCATCCTTTTTTTAATACTCTCTTTATTTTAAAATATAAGACATTTTGAAAAAAAAAAAATTCATAATATAAATCGTTTTCAAGTTTCTATGTAAATTATATATTATTTTAATATTTTATGATTAATTCTATTATGCAGTCTCTTTTATAATTTGCTGAACTTTTAAAAAGTAGATCTTCTTAATCGGTGTGTTTTTAGCTAAAAAGCCTTATATTTTGAAACGGACGGAGTAGTTCATAAATTACGTTTCATTACTAAAAATTTATTTTCGAAAATGTTTTGTAGCAAATTTTGTTTTCATTATTATTTTGATCAAGCAAATGATCTTTTTTCATTAGTGTTTGCTAATTCCTTTCCAGTCACTGAAAATATTGAAGTGCCTACATAAAAACAATTACGGAAATTAAGAAACACGTTAAATTGACGAAAAGATAGAAACATTGACTAGAGAAGTGAAAATCTGCTGGCACACGAATACGAATATTGTCTTCAAATTTATATGACAATTCTCTAAAATATATACTATCTTTTTCTCGAAATCAGTACCATTAGATTACAAACTTTTTTTTTTTTGGTTATATAAACAATTGTAATTGCTTGCTTTTGGTATTTTTAAGTCTTTGTAATTTTTTTATTTTTGTAAGCCTTTTTCCTCCATGCCACTACATGGTGCTAACTTACCTGATGAGGTTTTATTGTTTACAAACTCGATCGACATCAAATATTCACACACACGTGCACACATACGTTAATGGCATCTTTGTTATCGTTCAGAACAAAGGAGAACTAAAAATTGTGATTCTTTTTACCATGAGAAGCGACCCCACCCAATTAAGTCAATTTGTGTTTGTTTTTTCTTGTAATCTTTGGTCATATATGAGAATGACCAGCTTTGCTTTTCTTGTCTTTCTTCTACATATTCATCTATAAATACCTTCTCTCACCTTCTCCTTTATTCACACACTCACCTGTAGAAAAAAAAAACTCATCGAAACGGTTATCTAAAAACTCTTTTAACTCTTAAGTTTTTGCTTCCAGTTTTACGTACCATGGATTACAGATCATCAATGGAGTCTTCGGAAACCCTAAGGTAACTATTTTCATGGCATACGCCTACTATACCTAGCCTTTTCATGAACAATCCCCAAGAGAAGACTCATGGAGTTGCATGCAATATTATATGAAAATAAATGTAAATTTTATACTAACATGAATGTATATATTATATGTACACGTGCAGGAACAAGTGTGCCGCTTGTTATAGGCAATTCAACAAAATGGAACATTTAGTCGAGCACATGAAGATCTCTTATCATTCGGGTCATGAACCTACTTGTGGCGTTTGCAAGAAACATTGCCGATCTTTTGAGTCCCTCCGGGAACATCTCATAGGTAAATAATAACGTCTATACACTTTTCATATCTATAGATGTATACCATTTCATATACACACTTTGTATATGCAAACATTTCTAAATTGTTATATCTATAGGGCCGTTGCCAAAACAAGAATGCAAGAACATTTTCAGCCTTCGCGGATGCAGATTTTGCATGACGATCCTCGAAAGCCCGAATGCTCGTAGGATCCATCAAGAGAGATGCCAATTTTCGAGCGTGAACTCTGTAATCCTCTTTTCTCATATTTATGTAATTAAACTTGTAACCTATGAATCGACCACAAGAATATATACTTATATAAATCATATGTTTTTCTCATTTTTAGGGACTGACGACTCGCATGGCGGCTTTAGGTCTAAGAGATAAGGCCATGATCGACTACACGTCCTCGCGGTCTCCACGAGTGGTTGCACTCTCTTGCAAGATGGTAGGAGGAGGAAGCGACGGGTCGTTGGATCTGTGTGCGAGGGTTTGCATAACGGATGAGAGTGACAACGTTGTGTTCCACACGTATGTGAAACCTTCGATGGCCGTAACAAGCTATAGGTACGAGACAACGGGGATACGTCCGGAGAATCTAAGGGACGCAATGCCGTTGAAACAAGTACAAAGAAAGATTCAAGAGTTTCTTTGCAATGGAGAACCCATGTGGAAGATTCGTCCAAGAGGTGGAAAAGCGAGGATTCTCGTGGGACATGGCCTCGATCACGATCTTGACTGCCTTCAACTTGAATATCCTTCTTCCATGATAAGGTTGACATTTATATTTTTTTTAAGTAAACAACGAAAATACATATAACAAGATTCTTTAATGTTACTTCTCTTTCGATATAACGTATGATTTTATGTGAATTTATTTGTTAACGGTGAAGTTTAATATTTTTTATGTAGGGATTCTGCGAAATACCCACCGTTGATGAAAACAAGCAAGCTGAGCAACTCTCTCAAGTACTTAACCCAAGCCTATCTCGGGTAATATATCATTGTTTTTTTTTTTTTTTTTTTTTTGGTACCATAAAATATAAATTCAAATAAATTAATTCGGAAAGTGAGTATACATGCATGCACTCGTATGTTGATATCCTATAATATATGTGTATTATGTATGTATGATGTTTTTTGACAAAAAGAAAATGTATGTATGATATATCATATATATCCGTTAATTATTAGTTTTTCAGTGGGTATTGATGCTTGTATGGGTTTAAAGTTATAAGGAAGAGATTCAGAACGTGAAAAGATTCACATATTTAATAATATATTAACTTCTACATCTACACACATTAGTAAATAGATTTTATATGACTAGAAGCAATAATCCAAAATCATTAGACATTTTTATTTTACACGAGATGCTTATTATATTCAAGATTATATATTAATAAATGATGTGTTTATGTAGGTATGATGTTCATTTTGGGATACAAGACCCGTATGAAGATTGTGTAGCGACAATGAGGCTTTACACGAGAATGAGATATCAGAAACACAAGATTGAAGCTTACCCTTTAGCCGCCGATGCGCAGAACCGTAGCAACCAGGTGGTTTGGAGGCAGAGCGAAGTCGAGAGGATGTCTCCTGATGAAATGCTCTCCATCTCTCGTTCTGACTATTATTGCTGGTGCTTGGACTCCCTCGCTTAATTTCTAAACCTACAAGGTTATTTAAGTGGTCTCTCAAAATTATTAGTTCTTAAAACTTTTCCAGAGATTTAAAATTTAGTAACGTAACGTCGAATAAGCATTGGTTATGATTTTGTAGTAGTATTAAATTTTAGAGTGTGTGTTGTGTGAGATGCATAGATTGTTATTGTACTTTGTAATAATGCATTGATATCAATTATTAATCAATTATATTGCCTGCTTTATTTTTCCAATCCCACATTAATTAAAGTATGATTCCATTACTAGAGATTTATATTTAGAAGAATAAGCATTTCTATATATAAAATATTTTAAAAAAATATTTGTAAAAGGTACGAATTAGTTGACAAACAAAAGGTACGAATTAAAAAAATCAGCTTTAATACTAGAAAAAGCATATGAAAAAAAGCAAACTTTTTTTTGGAAAAACTAGCACAGATCATATCAATATCTTATTATATACAATTTGGTTTCAGAATTACTTATTAACAAGATCATGATACGTGACTCATAACTTAAGCAATTATCGAAACACCAACATTGTCATTGCATTGAAATATGAAACAAACTTTGCATCTTGTGCGGGCTTCTCCTTCGCATTGCATAAAAGATTTGGACACTCAATAGTTGACTAAAAATAATCATTTTATGATATGAGTTCAATAAAAAAACTGTTCTAATAATTGTACTTCCTAACCTATCAACGTACTCTGTTCCCACCACATAAGTACATACTCTACTAAGACCAACTTTATTGGTTATCCTTTAATAAGTGTCTCAAACATAAATTAATATTAATGTTTAAAGACATCCTATTTTTTTAGATCTAAAATGTCTTTACAGAGACACAAATTCTACTGTTCAAAGACATCTTCTTCTTCATTTTTCTCATCTTTTATTATTATATTTTAAAAACATCCCATTTTTTGACCAATGGAGATGTTCTAAGGGCTATATTAATTTATATGCTTAGAAGATGTAAATATTAAGAAAATATCCATGGTTTTTATATTATTAGTTTTCTCTCCTCAACTTCTGTAAGTTAAACAAAAATGTCACTCCGCATATAACAAATTAGCTAACAATATAATAAAATAGTTATCAACGTTTCTTATTTGATTCTGAACAGATTGTCCGTCAAATATTTGAGTAAAAATATATGATGAGTTAAATGATTATCTATTGGTTTAACACGATAACAACATATATATATCAATAAGTTTATAAATATATCGTGTTAATTCATATTTTATTGCGATAAGTTTATAATTGATATGATAAAGTTTATAGTATCATAGATAATATTTATGGTAATATAGTTGATATATAGATAATATTTATATTAATGTGTATAACGATGTTAACATGATAACAATAAAAGTAACAAGTATTATTTTAGATATGATCACCGATGAGGCAAATCCAGAAAAAAACATAATTAGGTTTTTTGGTCGCCACTGTCAAATCTTCAATCATCACAGCTCTTCCGTCCTTATCTCCGTCTCAACTCACCAATCTATTTAATCTAACTTCACGACACTTTATCTTTCTCTGTCGTAGTTACCGCAACCGATATAATCATCATCACCGATAGAATCATCACCACCACCATCATAACTATTAACAAGTACAATCATTTTGGCCACTTAGCCATTGCTCTTGCCATAAAACTTAGCCACATACAATCATCTTCATCGTCGTCGCCTCCGTGTCTTTCTCGACCACCGTTCACTTCTCATGAGATGTGCTATGAAGAGAGAGAAAAGAAGATGAGAAAGATGCTGAAGAATAATAAAGTAACTTCATCAGCTCTTTTACTGTAGAAACGAGTGATCAATTCGTCCACTTAATTTTTCAGTTTTCTGAGCATAGATAATGATAATACTCTACTAATATCTCAAACAGTCCAAAAATGTGTATGCTTGGAGTTGTGTCCACATTATACTGGCAGACCATACTAATGACTCTTTATATGGTCTCCTCAATCTTCATTGTGTAATACTCAAATTGCCTACATTAAAAAAGAATTAGATTTCCAACAATAAAACATCGAACAAAGAAATCTCTATAAGGCAAACTCAAAAAAAAAAAAAAGAAAAAACTTAATCTTTATGGAATATAATAATCACATGTACTTAGGTCATGTGTGAGTAGTCTCATCAAGGAGTTTAGGCATTCTAAAGGAGATGACCATATAAAAACCTTGATATGTATTTTCTCGTAATATGATTTATAAAAACCTTGAGATTTCTTCTTGTATGAGGCGCAGATTCATAGAGCTCAGAGCCTGTTTTCTTTCCAATCCAAGTTGGGCTCCCATGCTCTTTCAACAAGTCTCCCTCTTTCTTGATATCGAATTGAAATTTCATGTTACCCAGGTTTGTACCTTGCACCCTTCCTTCAACATCCCATATGCGAGATCTAGGCATAAATGATAGAAGCTCCAATGTACTTCTTCCCTCCGAGTGAAACATCCTCCCCACCAAGGAGGTCTTGTATTTTTATATCAGATCCGTGTAATCAAACTTCAGGATCCGGATGATCTCTTCCTCTTTCTCCTCTTGATTCGATCCAGTTGAATTTCCTTTCCATTATCCCTTGGTTCTCTGGATTGATACATAGCCTTTGAAACCAGGGTCAAAAATTGAAAGGACAAAGAAAGAATAATTAAACCCCCTAGTGAAGGGGATAAACAAAAATACTCTTGCTAGTACCCAAAGAAGCAGAATAACAATAAAGAAATCTCTCGAGATTCGAGGAATCAGAAAACCAGCTTCGTCTTCACAGATCTAAAGAGAAGAGGAAGACGACGGCGCAGATCGCCCTTGGAGAGTCACCATTAGGGTTTTTTTGGTGAATCTTCATGTAATTACGTAACACTTAATATCATCGTTTTACAAATATTCATTATTGTTTATATAAAATATTTAGTATAGTAATTATCATCATGTTCTAAAATACACTATACACTAAGCGTACGACAGAGCACCATATAGCGTATAGACGTATATATGGCCGTTTATGCGGAGACTATGCCGTCGATATTTTTTTGTTAAAAGATATTTATAGATATAAAATGTGTCAAGATATACATATATAATTACAAAATTATAATAAGAATAAAATTATATTTATAATAATTCATGATGCTATACATGAATACAAAAAAAAAGGTTAAAATTTTCACTTTTACAAAATATTTTTACAATATTAAATAACTAATAAGCATGGAAATAATAGAAATAATGATAATAAAGTTATTTTATATTAATTTTTGAGAACCAAACTAATAGTTTTGTTAAACTATTTTTCCAAACAATAATAAAATGACATAATTTTATTTTTTGATCCTTTGAGAAAAAGCGCCGTATATGCGAAATTCACCGTATATACGCCGTATAATCGATGTATATACGAACCTTATAGTTTTTACCGTATTAAACAATGGTATAGCCATAATACAGTAGGCTTCCCACTGTAAAGCGTATATACAGTCAGTGTCGTGCCAAGGCAAGCCTAGAAAATGTGGCATTTTCATATCTAAAAAAAAAACTAATAAAATTACATTAATGTCTTAAAACATACATAGTAGTGTCAATAAAAACCAAAAAAAAGAGAAATTCTAAAGCATAATTTTTCTTGCTTTAATTTAATTCCTATGAAATCATTCATCAACTCAAAATGTTAAATGTGCCGAAATTTTTATACAAGTAAAAAAGTAAATAATAAAAATTATAAAGATATGGGTTTTAATACACAAAGAACTCAAACATATTTATCAAACTAATGAAACCATATTTTGGTGGCCTTAGGCAAATGTCTTTTTCTCACTACCTTAAGCACGACACTGTATACAGTGTATATACGGCCGTATAGACCATAATTTAAAACAAATCGTTAGTAACATAAAAAATTGTAAAAATTGAAATGTCACCAATACAATAATTTACTATTTAAAATAAAATAAAAAATCTTAATTGTTATTAAGTTTCAGTGAAGCTACTTTAGTAATTTTAGTTATTAATAAATTATTTTTTTTTAGGAAAGATAATTGCAAATTATTACCTTGGAAAATTAAATATTTGATATGTTTTTTAGTCACGGAAAATATATAAAAATAGATGATAATATACCTTTGTAAGTTGCAATTATTTTACCTTTTAAAATCTATTTTTATGAAACATCTTATATATATTTATATAGTTTCTACATGACAATAAAATAGAGAACTGGAAGGTGAAGAAATAAACCACATGAGGCAAGTGATATGCCATGTCTATAACCGATCCATCTGAAGGAAAGAATGAAAGTAGGAAGAAAGAGGCGGGATCATCTATATGTCAGTGAATATAGGAAGAAAAATACACAACAATTAAGATTCATGGAAAATCAATTGTTAATTTTCTGCACTTTCGAAAATTGGACAACAAAGATCTACTCATTATCTCACACCAGTTTTTAGAAAGAATTTAATGGTAGTTGGCATTAGAAACAAATAATAGAACTAGAATGGAACAGTGAGAAAAAGAACTCTAGCCTCTAGGGCAGGTAAGCAACAATGTGTAAGCAAATATTTAATATTGTCTTCTCGGATATAAAGATGTTCAGAAGCCCTTAATTATGACGTGACAAGGAATTCAAACACAGCTATTAGGGATTTGTTAGGAGAAGGATTTCCGAAGTTTTAAACTAAAGTGAAAAATCCATACAAAATAAAGGTATTCTCAAACAAACGTTTCACATCTCAAAGGAGAGAAATATCATGTAAAATTAATAGCCCACCAACAGCTTGTAAAATTTATCGCTACCCATTCCTTTTCAAGCTCTTCAAGAGTTCGGTAGTCTTCATAACATGGATAACTAGGAACATTTAACCTTCTTAACAAAGGAAATGAGTCATTGATATGAAGGACAAGGCCAATGAGGTTGCTGATTTTGAAGTTGGGCTGGTCTAACGGATGTGGAAGGTAATCAGATGTTGAATGAATTCAGGTTAAGAGTGTGGTTTGTTGTAGATCAAGGTAGAGATCTAGTATCATTTGGGTGATACAATGGACGCGCAACCATTTAGTAAAGTGTATGGCTGCATAAGACAAAAACTTATCAAAACACATATAAAGTAGAAATAGAACACAAGGTAGAGCAAAACTTATTTGAAAAAGAAGTAAGAATACAAAACTTAAAACATGAATGGTGAGATAAGATCATACCACACAACGATAAAACAAGTGGTGACCATTTTGAAACCTTGTAAAAGTTTAAATATTTTAAATTTAAGATATTTGTATATTTGGTAAAATAATTGGTTCAACTAAGGAACCAGATTAAACCGAATAAAATTTTAAAATTTGAACATTTGATAAATTAAACTTCATGTTCATTCGGATCTAGAATCATTTTGTTCTTTTTTATAACACTCTCGTGGAACATTGAACAATGTCATATTTTGTCATAAATTTCTCGATTAATAGTACGGATAAAAAAGAAATACCTTCCCCTTGTTCACCTTGGTATAGGCCGGTTCTGAAATATTGGGGATCCAAACAAAACGAAAAAAATATTTGAGGTTTTAGACGATTTTAAAATAATGCGAGCAGATTTAAAGATTCGGCAAAATAGGAGCCTGTTTTTGCAATAAAATTTTTCAGAGGCTTATTATTGTATCAGATGGGCTCGCTAGGCCCAGGACTGGCTCTGAAATAGGCTCAAGATAGAGAAGACCCGTTTGCCCAACAGGAACTAAGTTATCTTGCTTTTTTTCCTGCTATATCTTTTGCCCCATTAAGTATTGCTGCAGTTACTAGAGAACTTCAGGGGCAATACACCAGTCATGTGTTAACCTTTGCAAGAATAACAACGTTTTTTAGTACGTTTGAAATCAAACCGCATTAAAACCGATTCACTCGATGGAAACTGAGCTACTTTAGTAATATATCTATATTTTCCTTTTAATATATTTTTTTTAATTTTTAATTAGGTAACTTTTCTAGGGTGTTCACATTTCTTAAATATATATGATTTATATTTAGATTTTTAAAATTTTGTGTTGGTTTAAAAATTTGTGATGGTACATCGATTTGTATTGTCGCACATAATAGTTAATATCTTTCATAGACTAAAAGGAGTTTGAATTTCACAAAACAAAAACGGACATATAATAGAGTTATTTATAGTAAATCACCCAAGAGCTAGAAAATAGAAATAATAAATTTCATAACTCATGAATCCAAAACATATAATCAAGCTGAAACTCGTTTAGCTTGTCCATTGTTGCCACTAAGTTGTAACTGAGAGTTAGCCTTAGAAAGATTCTCCTCATGATCCTCTTCATCTTCATCATCTTTTGGTGTTGTCTTGTAATAGCAAGCATAGAGTATAAGTTGTACTGCTCCTGATACTGTTCCAAGTCCATTTCCAATCTATGAAAAAAAAACTAAGTTATACTAGTAATAAAAGATGAATAGTAACATAAATCATTGAATAAACTTACCAAAATGAAAAGGTCGAATTTAATAAGTGCATAAATAACCCAAACGGCACCGTTGAGGAAGTTGGCAAGTGAGAGAGAAAATGGCATGTACTTCACACTTTTGGTCTTGATCACCTTACTCTGTTTCACTCACAACAAATATATCATGTTTTCTATTATTAAAAAGTGAAAGAAAATACAAAAATGTTAAGAAAGAAAAGAAGAGGTATATAATAAATAATATTTACCATGATGGTGAGAGGAGCAATATACATGAGACTAACAAAAATGACACAGAAGATTCCAACAAAAGAAGATCTCTGGTTATGTGTGTGGAACAATAGCAATGTGCATGTGGCTACTATTCCTACGAACAGCATCTCTCCTATTAACCATAGCCCCACTTTCACCTGCACCATGAACCAATTTGATTAAATCAATTCAGAACAAAAAAAATTGTATAAACCTTTTGTTTTGCCTATCACTAACCTAGAAGGCTAGAACAGAATCAATCATTGTCTACCACTTCTTTTTACTATAAAGTTTTAGCTTTCATTTTAAGCCATACTAAAAGCGATTTTAGTTTTCAATGATAAAAAAAAAAAGACATTTAATAAAATTTGTGAAAAGAAGAGAGATATGAATGGAAATTACTATACCTTGCGACTAGTTGGAGAAAAGAAGAAGAAGATTACGAGATACACCATCTCAATGGCCAAACCGGTACCATTTATGGTGATCACAAGGAGACTATCTGGTTTAACCATTGGTAAGCCATAAAAGACCCAAAGTGCGCAATTTAGAACCGTGGCTAAGTATGGGTCAGCTTTATACTCCTCCACCTTTTGCTTCTTGTATATGGTTATGAACGTAGGTCTGCATATATATACACTTATAAACATTAATATAAGAGATCTAAGTTGTTATTATAAGGTCAAAGCTAGATAGAGAGATTAATGATTACATGGGAGATAAGAACAAGAACAAGGATATGACATTTCCTGCGACAATAAACAAATAATTTCTTAAGTATTATAAGTAAACAAATTAAGGTTAAAGATTCTTCAAGTGTTCATATACATATAAAACTCATATTTATACGTACCACAAATTCCGGCAATGTTTCTCGCAACTGTAGCGTTAACCATTTCACTTCAAAAGCCAAATCTGAACTAGAACAAGAAGCAAGAACAAAAACGAGAGAGAGAGAGAGAGAAGTAATATTTTTGGTATGTTAAATATGTGTGAGTGTTTTTTGCATATATTTATAGATAGAAGATGAGATGTTTGTATAAATATAGGTACTCATGTATACTTATATGATATAAGTATGTGTATATGTATTGATGACGAAGCAAAACTCAAGAAGTAAAGGAATTGAAATGAAAACGACCTTGAATTTTTGTTTTTTCCGTTTTGGGGAAACAATCATGACATTTATCTGAATATCTTTCAACACTTTCTCGTTGGCTTATTATATTTGGATCCATGATTATAACTATTATGCCTACCTTATATAGTATACGTATGTATATGTACATATACATTTATATGTCACATGCATGTACATTGTATGTAAGTTATTTGTAATAATCTTATTCACGACCATATTGAATATTTAAAACTAAAACTATTCAAAAAGTTATCCACGTGACGTGAGTGTAAGCGAGCAATCTGATAGAAAAACAAATCACGTAACATATATTTTCCTCTCTTTTTCCATCTTTTTGGACGACTTTTAATTTTTTTGTTATATTAAATTTTATATATATCATTTGATAGAAAAGGGTAAAAGTTTTGTTAATTTTCATGGATTTTCATATGAGTATCTTTCTCTTAATTCATTTCTCTTTTATGTGACATCTCATTTGTTTGCGATTGTTTAACATATTCATAATTTGATAAAGTGGTTTCTTCTATGAACCAACGTAATATATAATTTAACAGATTTTTTAAAATTAATCTCATCTTACAATTTGTTCATGTTACAAATTAAATGACTGTTTACAAAAGTAATGATAAACAGTTACAGTTTTAGACTTTATTGAAATAACTAATGAACGTATTTAGATTGTTTCTAATGATAACTAAAGTTTTGAAGCAAAAGGGAAATGACTTTACAGGTGTTGTGAGAAGGTATACAAACAAATGATTTTTGTAACTTTAATATAGAATAAAGTAAGCATGCGATGCGACAATGTCCATTTCGAATTTTTGATGCCGATGTAACCATATTGCTATCGATATTTTATGAAATAAATTCTATGGACGATAAAAATCGCAATATCTATGCTTCCCGGCCGGACGATAAAAATTATTAAAAAATAATAATATCTATGATATGAATTTAAATATATATAAAGTATTGTCTTAGGGTGTGATTGGTGGGTAATAGAAGAATTGAGAAGAATTGAGAAGAAAATAATTGAGAAGAAAAGAAAAGTAATAAGTAGAAGAATAGAGAAGAAAAATAAAGATGAACTTTATTATTTGATTGGTGGTTAATGAGAAGAATTGAGAAGAATTGATAAAAATTTAAATATTAGTATTTAAAATATGTAAAAGTTAAATTAAAATTATAGAATTATTGTGAATCATGTTCCAGTTCTAAAACATAATTTAAATTCTATCGACGACGCCGAGATCCATATCTTTTTACTGACCATATGTGTTCAGCAATCTGATCACGCACTATCCGCATATACATTCCTGCCTCTGATGATTCTTCGATTCTAACACTATCATTGTTATCTTGCTCATCCGTCATATCATGTTGAGCTTGTACAACATCATTCTCGGAATCAATATTATCAAAGTCATAGTCTTTAATATTATGCTGACGAATAAAATTATGCAGATCCATTGTAGCGAATATAACACTTCTTTGTGTAGTAATGTCATACCTCGGAAATTCATTTAGGACCCTCCATTTTTTCTTCCATAAGCCGAATGTTCGTTCAATAACAGAACGTAATGACGCATGCCACCTATTATACATTTCCTTACTGTTTCGAGGAGGCTCACCGTTAATAAACTCTTGGAGATGATATCTTGTGCCGTCTCTATGTTCTTTTCGGTATGGAGCTAAATATCCACGTTTATTAGCATATCCAGAATCTACAAGATAGTACTTACTTTCTGGAGGTACAGGAAACAGTGGATCATCACTTATTGCAGCCGCCAAAACACGTGCATCATGGGCAGATCCTGCCATCCCGACAAAACAATATGTGAAAAGCATGTCAAAATCACATATGGCTAGAATATTGAAGCTTGCAATTCCCTTTCTGTTTATAAATCGGAGACCTTCTCGACCTGGTGTAACCATAACAGGCACATGTGTTCCATCAAGTGCACCAACAAATCCATTAAAAAAAGGCCAATATCTTGTATCGTCTTGCAAACGGTTGGAGATAGCTCTAAGTTCTTCGACTGTCCTTGGACGTATATACTCTACAGCCAACCGTTCCATTGCTTTAAGAACATCATGAAACTTTCGCCAAATTGTCTCCTGGGCATGCCCAAACCTTAGTGCAATATCACGTTGTGTATCATTTTGGGCACAAATGATTAGAAAGATTGCAACACTCTCATCGAGGCTTATGTTTGTCGAGCTTTGTAAGCCATACTTTCCATGTAATATTTCACATAACTGTGTGAATGCCTCTGAACTCATTCGGATAAGTGTCTGACATGAAACTTCATTACCGTAAATTTGATCTCGAATAATAAGCCATCCTCTTCCACGATCTGATGTCATAGGCTGTTTATAAAAATATCTCGTATAATATTGCAACATAGGAGATATGCATTCTTCCATATCCTCTTCTTCTTCTAGTAACATTAACTCTGCAATCTCTTCATCGTCAAGATTCTCGATTCCGAGTGAACGCAATTCGACAATTCGTTCCTGATATTTCAAGTAAATTTGAGTTAGAAATTGATGAAAAATATATTAATTAACATATAAAATATACATGAGAAAAAACTTAAATTTTATTTGAAATTTTCTAATACAAATAATCACTTCTTTTTTCCATCATTTTCATTTGGCCTATTAAAAAAATTTATCATCTCCGGAGCATTAGCAGAACTAGAACCTACAGATCTAGGAGAGTCAATCCCAAATAATGAAGAAAAATTCGTCCATCGTGACCCTGAACCAGTCCCGGAGTTAGGATAATAACTTGGAGAAATCGATCCTGGTAGTGGAGGGGAAGGAAAAACACCATCATTTTACTGTTATCCCATGTGCCTAAGTCAAAACCTTGATCACCACCCGACCCACCACCGACTGATCCACCACCAATGGATCCGCCACCAACAGACCCTCCACCAGTCGATCCCCCACCGATAGACCCTCCACCAGTCGATCCACCACCAATAGATCCTCCACCAGTTGACCCACCACCAACAGATGCTCCACCGAAAGACCCAGTACCACCGTAGCTAGAAGCATCAGATCTTACATAATCACTTCCACTATTACTGCTAGTTACTCGTAAGTTGATTAGATCACAAGGATTCCCATATCTATCCATACCGGATAATCGCTCCAAATGTCGAATTTTATTCTCCTCACTTCGTAACTTCATAAATCCGTCACGAATATCTTCATCGTTCATTAGCAACTTGTTTGCCTCCCACCAAAATGTATTCATTGGCTCAATTGGCAATGATTCAAGTACAGCTAATGCATCACCATACGTCGGTTTTGAGCTTTGCCGTGAGCGCACCACATTCAGTAGCTCACTACGAGATTCTTCCATACGTTGAAAACTTCCATCAATTCGTGCCTCAAAATTTGCTCTTCTCAGATGAGTACGTCGTGTCGAAGTATTCCGAGCATGTGAAGCCGTCGCATGCGTTGAGTGTCGAGCATGTCGAGTTGTCTCTCTAGGTGACCGAGAGAGTCGTGGTAAATCATCATCATATGCTCTTAAATTAGAATTATCCGGAGGAACTACGGTTCGACCATTTTCTTCTGTGTCATCCACTGGCACATCATCATCATCATCATCATCATTATATGGTTCTTTTTCGAGATCAAGATGAACTCCAAGCATGTGGGGTGAATAGCGAGAGTCTTGCTCAAGATCGTGTTTGCTATGTATAACATCTAGTAAATCTTGGAACGGAAGAGGCTTATTTTGTAACACGGTTATATATTTTTTGTTTGTTTCACCGAATTCCTGTAAAATAAATATGATTTATGAGTATGATATTAGCATGTTTACAAGAAATTATAAGTTATGAATAATTAAAATTAAAATATTACCGCGCATCGATCGTTCCACCATGATGGTTCCATCTCGATCTGCCCCGATGAATCAACATGTGTACCAGTACGCTTGGATAATATGTTGTTGAAATACCACAATTTTTTTAAATAATTAAATTTACTTTTCATCTCAGGTTCCCATTTAACCGAATCACCAGTCAGTTCAACAAACTTTTCTTCGATCCTCCGTTTACCAGCAGCTAATGGTACCCTAATCGTATAGTCTTCCGCCTCTAATTCAGCGATAACAAGCTCAAGAAATATTCGAGTTGTTCTAGGCGTCCATTTATACTAACCACATTTTAAAATTTTAAACAATCATAATTATATTTTAAAAATAATATATAGATAAAACAATAAAATGATATAAAAAAAATATTAATAAACATACATTGCGTCTTGGACCACTGGCACCTCTACTTGATGTTCCTTCACCAGCATTTTCACGACTCGATCGTCCTCTACTGACTACTCCGCGACGACCTCTACTACGTGTATTATCTGACCTGCTTGTCATCTTCATAATATATAATAAAATTAGTAAGATGTAAAATCATTAGTTAAACAATTTAGACTTAAAAATTATTTGAATCTTTCCATATTATATAAATTATACTAAATTAAGATAGAGAGCATATAAAAATATTCTAATCAAAAAATTTTACATTTCATTTTTTCTAGCATCAAACATTTTTAATATATATAGAGATATATTACACCAACTAAATTTGAGATATATATAGAATCTACTCATTTAGAATAAGTGCTAACAATAAAAAAAATTCTTTAATTAGTGCTGTAAAAGTAATTACTTAAAATAAATTATAAAAATTAAATATAACATAAATTTAAATTCATAAAACATGTAAAGGATAAGAAATTAAAAAATACCTTCAATATTGAGATGAAAATTCTGGAATGAAATATCAAATTTAAACAATTTAACAAAAAAAAAATCTCAAGACTGTTTTTTGAATGTATAGAACGATTGTTGTTTTTTGAATGTATAGAACGATTGTATGAAACCAAATGCTCCTATATATAAGCAAAGTCTTTCTCGGTGACTTCCTCCACTTGTTATAAAAAGTTATTAAAAATTAGTTTGTCATTTTGGAAAATGTGCCTTATCTAGAGGAAATGGTTCAACTTGATTTTGAGTGGGCGAAGGATTTCTTCTTATTTTTGTTTTCTAGATGAATTATTTCTTTTTTTTACTGTTTTGTTTTTCTTCTTGACTGGTACAAAGATAATATATCTGAGAAGATTTTTTTATTCTCTCATTTCTTTTCTTCTACCAACGTCATCCAGTCACACCCTTAATGATGAGTAAGGTATACCAACAACTAGATCAATTGTTTATTAAGATAAAAATTTAGTTTTGCTGAGAAATTACTTGGTGAAAGGGATGTTTTTCCAAAAACAAGATTGATATGAGAAAGTTATATTAAAATACTTATTTACTTACTAGCTAGTCTTTCAATTAAAAGGTATAGTTATCGAACTATTATAAAAAAAATCAATTCATAATGGTTCGAATATTACTAATGTGATTCCAATAATTGTTTTTTCTACTATGCATATGCATGTTTCAAATAGTAAAAATTCTGATATTTCACATACTTTAGAAAATTAATTTTGGTTTCGTTCAAGAATCAATCTGTTATAAAAAAAATATATAATAAGAAAATATTATATAGTTCTGGTGTTACCAAAAAAATTTAAAATATCACGTTAGCATGATATGTGTGATGTGTGTCAAATTAGACCTAAGATTACTCTCTCAAATAAGAGATCAATTACAGTATTTTAGGGTCGAAATCCACAAATCTATCATGTTCATACAATAGATTAACATGTTTTGAATTAAGCTAAACACAAAATAAGAATATTAAAAATAAAAAAAAAGCAATTAAAATCGGTTGTAAATTCAGATGAGCTAGGAAAACGTTAGGCTAAAGGGTTTCTCAAGAAATAAATAAATAGTAGATCTAGCAAATTAATTAGGATTACTTATCAAACCGTTCTAGAACTCAAATCACTAATTTATAGCCAACCACCTCTCGAATATATTGACTAACTAAAACTAATATCAGGAAGTTCCACCTCTCGAATGTAAACTCCTAGAATTAGGCTAGCATTAATAACAGGTTTGATATGCTCACATATATTCCTAGACCACCTCTGGAATGTATCTAGTAATTTCTGTCCACCTAAGATAGTTCCAATAATAGATGACCTCTCGAATCTACCTATTATCCTATGATCAAATTCTAGGTGATCAATCTAGAATTAGCATTAAGAATAATCATAGATGAAGAACTCTAAAGATTAATCCAAACAGGCAATCGATCTACTAATTCATCTAAATCCCTAATGAGAATCCCTAATGAGAATCCCTAACTAAATCCCTAATGAGAATCCCTAATGAGAATCCCTAAACCTGACAAGCAAACTACTCAGACATGATCATGGTAACAGAAAACATGTTATGAATAGAAATCATAAAGAGATTCAATAAAAGAGATGAGTTAAGAAAGATCTTCTCTGGAAGAGCGCTCTCTAATTATCTCCTAAAGGGTTCAAGCTCCCAAGAATACAATAGAATAAGAGATTGAGAGATCTCTAACAACAAAACCCTAAAAATCTATTTATATGTACTTAAAAACGTGCAGAGACTTCTTTGAAAATAGAAAAACGTTCTGGGACGATTCTGCAAATCTTCAAAACTTCAAAAAGACTCGAAATTGAATGGCCGTCAGATATTGGTGTCGATCGACACCTACACGTATTTTGGTCTCCGGATTGCTCTTGCAGTATAACTTCTCGGTTTTCCTCCAGAATGATCTATAATCTTCTATATTTAAAGAGATATGAGAACGTATATATATATAAAATCTTTTACCGAATTTTTTTCATGCATGCATATATGCAATTATTATTCTTCAAAGTGATATGCTTTAGTTTGATGCACAATTAATGTTCTCTTCATCACATCACAACGTCATTAATATTCGTTTGGCAAATTATGATTATTGTACTTACTTATCTATTAATATAGTGATGAATTTTTTAACCCTACATTAATTGTCTTCTAGTATACAAATTTATTCGAGGCGTAAAAATACTCTCGAAATGGAATTGGAAACGAAAACTCTCGTGTATAAAGCTTTCTTCTCTAGGGTGATTGCTTGACAAAATGTCACACACATTAAATGGTCAATCCAACCACTTTTTAAAATGATTAATTTATATTTTGAAAATATACAATATACAATATTCTCAAAAGTATATATAACCATAACCTAAAAGTGATTACTGAACAATGTTCTAATTAAGGTAAAACCAATATGATTTAATTTATTTTTTAAGATTTGCGATGAATTTGTAACCAAGTAATATAATCTATATCGTATTCACTATCTTGATATTTCGTCACCAATGAAGATGTATATAGAAGATATGAAAAGTTTAAAACAACAAAATTGAACTAAGCTGATTTGTCTAAGAACACATGTGTCGACCTAAAGTTCTTATAGTAGATATATAGTATGCTAAAATTGATAATAATCGAAAGTTTTTCTTGTATAGATAGATAGTACACCTCTCTTTAGATTAGATATGATAGCTTATTAATGTAATATTTAGATAACTATCGTGTTCAATTGATCAAATATTAAATACGTTTTACATAACAAGTTAAGAAGGAAATTCATCACGTACGTCTTGATGTCGATGTTTCTTAACTTAAGCATATAGGATGGTTACATGTTTTGGACGTATTATTATATTGATATATAGGATGTCTACATCTAGCTTGACTTTTAGCTAACCTATTTCAAAGACTACATTGTAATCAAATTAGGGTTTCATTCTAAGTGCTTTTCTTTAGAAAAAAAAATACTTTGAAGGCAAAAATTTATTGTAGACAAAGAATCCAAAATGCGAACCAATAAGTGGCTTACACAGAAGGCATTTCCCAACAATGATATAATCATTCTACGTGCCTATAACGAATAATTATTTCTTGAAATGCTACCTTTTTTTTTTTTTGAGAAGAGCTATTGTTGACATAAGAATAAAGCAGAGCTACTATTCTTTAACTACAAATTATAAGAGATCTATCTATATATACATTTTTGGATCACAATTAGCAAATAAATCCTGAAGTTGAGAAGTATTTACAATGGCATGTCATTAGCATTAATTATTTAGATTTGTTTTATTTAAGTAAATATTTTTAAATGAAATTCATTTCTCATATATTTAGCAAAAGTCTCTACAAAATCTTTCTTTATCTATCTATATATACATTTTTGGATCACAATTAGCAAATAAATTTGCTAATGTATATATACATTTTTGGATCACAATTAGCAAATAAATCCTGAAGTTGAGAAGTATTTACAATGGCATGCCATTAGCATTAATTATTTAGATTTGTTTTATTTAAGTAAATATTTTTAAATGAAATTCATTTCTCATATATTTAGCAAAAATCTCTACAAAATCTTTCTTTATCTATCTATATATACATTTTTGGATCACAATTAGCAAATAAATTCTGAAGTTGATAAGTATTTACAATGGCATGCCATTAGCATTAATTATTTAGATTTGTTTTATTTAAGTAAAGATTTTTAAATGAAATTCATTTCTCATATATTTAGCAAAAGTCTCTACAAAATCTTTCTTTATCTATTTAAGTAAAGATTTTGAAATCAAATATGTTCTCAACAATTTACCAAAAATCTCTACACAATCTTTTTAAAAATCTCGACTTAGTTAACTTCTGATTTTTATCTGCAAAAAAAAAATTAATAGTAACGAGTGATGTAAAAATCGGGAATGTTGATATTACAATTTCTTCTACTTCTTTTTTTTTTCATATAATGAAAATTATTTTTTAGGGATACTTTCTCAAAACCTCTAAATAAAACAAAAGGTTTCAAAAGATAGCTTCTCTTTTGGCGGGTCGACACGCAAACCCGCAACTCTCTACGGGCTTATCCGCATGAACCTACGACCCGTAGTGAATAAAAATATTATTCCAAAAAAATAACAAATGATGTTTAATTTTACGGAACGGGGTTATATGGTGCAACGGGTTTAGATCGATATTAATATTAAACAATATACTATGGATGAAATCTTAGAATTAAAAATCAAAATTTAATTATAAAATCAGAAACACTAAACAAAATAAACAATATTAACAAAACAAATACAACTTAAAATTTTGCTAAATAATTTTTTAATTATAAAAAAATCGACCCGTGGTGTACTGCGGGGTAAAATCTAGTATATATACATCTTTGAAGTACACTTAGCAAATAAATCCTAGAGTTGCTAAGTATTTACAAAGAATGCCATTATCATAAATGGTTATCTATTAATTAATATTACACAATATTTTTGAAAAAATCTTTTAGAAATTTTGGCTTCCAAATATGGTAATAAATTAATTTTGTTTCTAAATTTTCCTAAAACATCTCTACCTAATTTAAACATTAATATATG